CCTTCGGAGCTTCTCAAGCTCAGTGTCTCTGTCCTCCATCTGTCTTCCAAAGACCCCAAGGCTCTTCTTTTTGAGGTACAAGCAGATGTCCTCGAGGATCACGTTCTCCTCCCTCAACGGTTTGTTCTTGGAAATCTCCGCCCTAAACTTCTCACCAAGGGACCTGTGGGCTATCTTCCAGGATGCTACAGTGTTCTCCAAGTCCAATGCTCTCTTCTCCAGGGCGTTGTACTTTTCCACCTTCTCATTCTGCAGGTGTAGACTCTCCTCAAGATGGCTTTTTTCGGCCTCCTGTCCTCTGACGGTCTCCTTCAGATCCACCACCTTCTGTATCAGCTCGCCAACCTTGGCCACGGCAAACGTGGCTAAAACCAATGCTAGAGTTTGCAATTCCAGGGTTTCTTGCTGTAAGGAAGGATAGGATAGAGGGTGTAGGTGGGGGATGTGCTAAGTTTGTTGAGGACGGACTGGCATACAGTAGTAGTGGAGGTAAACGATGCAGAGTGTGTCGGGATAGAGGTGTGCAGGAATGAAGGCGGCATAGTGGTGTTACATTTTTATAACCCTTGTATGCCTCTAAGTGCAGAGCAGCTAGATGTAATGGGTAGGTGTGGTGGGGGTGGAAAGGTGATTTGGTGTGGGGACTTTAATGCACATAGTGAGATATGGGGAGGTGGACACACAGACGGTAATGGGGCAGTGGTGGAGGAATGTATGGAGGGTTGTGGGGTTGTGGGGTGGGATGGTATGTGTTAATGGGGGGGGGGGGGGGGGGGTGGTACTAGGGTAAATATAGGGAAAGGGACTGAATCCTGTTTAGATCCAATGTGGGTGTCTGCGTCTATGGCAGGGAGGTGTGAGTTGCGAGTGATGAGACTCCACCGTAGGGAGTGATTATTACCCTATTGTTGGTAGGTTTGAGGCTGGTGTGTGTATGCAGAGCAGAGGTCATGGCAAGAGGTGGTGTTTTGAGAAGGCTGATTGGATCAAGTTCAAGTACTTGCGTGAGCGGGAAGGACGGAAGTTGACGATGGAGGGATCAGTGAATGAATGTGCTCAGGAAGGTGCTGAATCTGATGAGGGCTGTGCCAGGTGTAGACTGGAGGGCAGATGGGAGGACACTGTTGTGTATGTATCAGGGACTGGTTAGATCCATGATAGATTATGGGTGTTTTACATGTCTAACTCTCTCTTTAATCTTATTAAGCTTTGGTGAGAGAGGGGGGACGTAGAGGGCTGGACCAGTGGATTGTAGGCTGAAGGAGAGCGGTCAGGGCTCCTCCTTAATAGCTGCCTGAAGAAACCTGGTCGCGTTTCTCTCGTCTTCCCCTCTCGCAGTTTCCTTCGGAGCTTCTCAAGCTCAGTGTCTCTGTCCTCCATCTGTCTTCCAAAGACCCCAAGGCTCTTCTTTTTGAGGTACAAGCAGATGTCCTCGAGGATCACGTTCTCCTCCCTCAACGGTTTGTTCTTGGAAATCTCCGCCCTAAACTTCTCACCAAGGGACCTGTGGGCTATCTTCCAGGATGCTACAGTGTTCTCCAAGTCCAATGCTCTCTTCTCCAGGGCGTTGTACTTTTCCACCTTCTTAATTCTGCAGGTGTAGACTCTCCTCAAAATGGGCTTTTTTCGGCCTCCTGTTCTCTGGACGGTCTCTTCAGAATCCTTCACCTTCTGTATCAGGCTCGCCAAACCTTGGCCACGGCGCGACAGAAATCGTCCTCAGGACCACCGATCTCTTCGCTCTGGTCGTTGCTGGTATTCAGGAGTTTTAGTTTCTCTGCCTCATTGTTGGCAATTATGTCCTTCGTGTGGTCTTCCATCTTTTTTACTGCGTTGTACTCTTCCACCTTCTCATTCTGCAAGTGTAGACTCTCCTTGAGATGACTTATTGCGGTCTCCTGTCTTCTGACGGTCAGCTCCAGATCCTCCACCTTCTGTGTCAGCTCGCTGACCTCGGCCACGGAGCAACATAAATCTTTTTTCACCAGACATTCGATTGGACATTTGGGTGGGCTCTCAGGACCACCAATCGCTTTGGTCTGGTCGTTGCTGGTCTTCAGGAGTTTTAGTTTCTCTGCCTCATTGTTGGCAATTATGTCCTTCATGTGGTCTTCCATCTTTTGTACTGCGTTGTACTCTTCCACCTTCTCATTCTGCAGGTGTAGACTCTCCTTGAGATGGCTTATTTCGGTCTCCTGTCTTCTGACGGTCAGCTCCAGATCCTCCACCTTCTGTGTCAGCTCGCTGACCTCGGCCACGGAGCAACATAAATCTTTTTTCACCAGACATTCGATTGGACATTTGGGTGGGCTCTCAGGACCACCAATCGCTTTGGTCTGGTCGTTGCTGGTCTTCAGGAGTTTTAGTTTCTCTGCCTCATTGTTGGCAATTATGTCCTTCATGTGGTCTTCCATCTTTTGTACTGCGTTGTACTCTTCCACCTTCTCATTCTGCAGGTGTAGACTCTCCTCCAGATGGCTTATTTCGGCTTCCTGTCTTCTGACGGTCTCCACCTTCTGTGTCAGCTCCCCGTAATTGGCCACGGTGCGAAAGAAATTTGTTTTCACCCGACATCTGATTGGACGTTTGGGTGGGCTGTGAGGACCACCGATCTCTTTGCTCTGGTCGTTTCTGGTCTTCAGGAGTTTCAGTTTCTCTGCCTCATTGTCGGCAATTATCTCCATGCGGTCTTCCATCTTTTTCTCCTGTTCAAGGAGAATTTTCCTTTTAAACTCCCACAGCTCACTTACCTGCTCTGTCAGCCTGATGATCTTGTACTTGGCACAACATAGTTCAGTTTTAATCGGAACTCTGGGTGGAGGTCCTGGATGGCTTGGAGAGAGAGTGGACGTTTCTGTGATAATCTCTGAAAGACTGTGTCCCTCTCTGATTTGTCCTGGAAGAGGGTTCATGGCTGTGTCTTTATGTGAAAAACTGTGGGCCAGCGTATCTGAAATGGTTCTTAATGAAAGACTGAATCTGTCTCGACGAGAACTAAATGTTCGTCTTACTTGTGCAGTGACTTGAACTTGACTGACTCTCTCCCCCTCTGAGATTCTAATGGAATGTCTGTGGATGTTCCAGTGTGATAAGCTTCTGTGAATGCGTGCTGCATCATTGGCTGTCACAGCTTGATGTCATAGCTTCTGTGAATGCGTGCTGCAATATCATTGGCTGTCACAGCTTGATGTCATCGCTTCTGTGAATGCGTGCTGCAATATCATTGGCTGTCACAGCTTGATGTCATCGCTTCTGTGAATGCGTGCTGCATCATTGGCTGTCACAGCTTGATGTCATCGCTTCTGTGAATGTGTGCTGCAATATCATTGGCTGTCACAGCTTGATGTCATCGCTTCTGTGAATGCGTGCTGCATCATTGGCTGTCACAGCTTGATGTCATCGCTTCTGTGAATGCGTGCTGCATCATTGGCTGTCACAGCTTGATGTCATCGCTTCTGTGAATATGTGCTGCATCATTGGCTGTTACAGCTTGATGTCATCGCTTCTGTGAATGCGTGCTGCATCATTGGCTGTCACAGCTTGATGTCATCGCTTCTGTGAATGCGTGCTGCATCATTGGCTGTCACAGCTTGATGTCATCGCTTCTGTGAATATGTGCTGCATCATTGGCTGTTACAGCTTGATGTCATCGCTTCTGTGAATGCGTGCTGCATCATTGGCTGTTACAGCTTGATGTCATCGCTTCTGTGAATGTGTGCTGCAATATCATTGGCTGTTACAGCTTGATGTCATCGCTTCTGTGAATGTGTGCTGCAATATCATTGGCTGTTACAGCTTGATGTCATCGCTTCTGTGAATATGTGCTGCAATATCATTGGCTGTTACAGCTTGATGTCATCGCTTCTGTGATGTGATCCCTTTGAAGTATGTCCAATCAGAGACCAGTACAGGTTCCGGAGTTTTGATTGGCTGAGCAGAATATTCAAATTCAAAATAAACTGGGAAATCCAAGGGGATTTTATTTTTGAAAAACAACACTATCTTGTTCCCACAATTATAACTTTTCATTCACAATGTTTGGGTCAAAACGTAGAAAATGTCATGCCGGTGTTTGATCCCACAAACAAACCCCACATCACCGCGTCCGTTAAGCCTAGTTTATGCTTCTGCGTTTTCAGAGAGACGCAAAAGCAAAGAAGACCGTTGCGGTAGTGGTAAGATAAGTACATAATTATAGACAGAGAGTCTTAAACTCAAAATCAGCTGAGGGCCCAGATGCAGGCTCACTTCAACCAAACGCGGGCCAGACTAGCGTCCCGAACGGGCATGGTCGACAATAACACAACTTTAACACTCACTTTCAAAAGCAGTCATTGAACCCCACCCTGGGGAATCGGTTCGAATGAGACTACAACACTAGTCCTCTAACTCAGCGGGGGAGACCTACCCATAGCAAAGCAAAATTGAAGATGAGATCTCCTTTATGTCACATTTACATCTCCTAGATATAAATGAGCACTAATTGAGACCAAAGTGGTTTTCTCATTCTTCTCAAATGTCTCTCCTGAGAATTAAGTCTCACATTGAGCACAGTGCAAGTTCTCTAAATTCTCTCACAGCTGTCTCTTTTCCTGATCTCAACTAAGAGAAAAATGAGACATACAATGCAGCTTTCAAATATGTCTCAATTTGATCTCAATTATATCTCAGTGAGAAATATGTCTCGTACTGCTCACTATTTGAGTTCTCAGATTCGCTTACAGTTGTCTCTTTCTAGTGTTTCAGCAAAAAGAAAAAATAGAGTAGTGTTAGCTCTCAAATTAGTCTCAATATGAGACATTATTTAATATTATAGCTCAATCATATCTCAATTTATCTCAGCGCAAAATTTAAGAAAAGAAGTATATCAATTCAGGCAAATAATTTGAGATGGTTTACATAATGTTCAACTTACAAAAGGTGTTTATTTCTGACAAGCCATACAATTCATTAATTAGAATTTTGAGTTCTAAAACGTAACCCATCAAAACATAAGCCATGATTGTTATAATGCGGTGCTTAATCACAAACACGAGGACACTCTTCAGGTCTCACCTCACTGGGTTGTAAACTTTAATACATTCTCACGTCGCGTGTACGGTCCATCGTGCTCGGTCTGGTTACAAGGCAGTGTTTCCCAATAACAGTCCGTGTGACTCACGGAACTAAACAATAGTTCCTACTTATAGTTCCTATTGTTACAATGATTTGCTCAAAAGACACCTTTGTGAACTTTCTAAATGTTGACAATTGTGCTGTTTTAAAAGAATTCACAGCAAAGCTCTATTGTATAGAGCAGTAAAAGAGTGTATAACACGTTACTCCAAGAATCCTACCTCATGTGTGATGAAAGAGTCCGTTATGACTATTACTATTAACGTTGCACGCGCGGGAGACGTGGTAGCGCCAAGACCCGCCCTACGAAGCAGCTCATTGCATGGCTCACGATTGATTAGACTTTTCACCTCGAGTGGTTAAGGTTAGGATAGCGGATTGGTCAGGGGATAGGACCTGAACAAATAAAAATGTTGTTATCTAGAATACAGGGCTTTTAAAAAGAATGTAATAGTATAAAGGAAATATAATCTGTGGGTATACTCCAGTCCAGCGGTGGCGGTAATACAACAACAAGTTATCAACCGCCAGATAAAAATAGAAGAAGAAGAAGAAGAAGGACTGGAGGGGGCGTGTCTTGGCGCCAATTCGTAATTTCGTTGGGGTGAGAGAAGTGCGTCGGTAACTGCTGCTGCACCTGTTGGCTTTTGCCCCTGCCACGAAGAGGTAAGAATGAAATTCTTTTGACATTATCATAATAATGGAAGGTGGGGATTAGGTAATTAGGTGTCTGTCCAACAAGTAATTGACAAAGAAACTCCGAACTGTATTCAGACTGTCGAAAATGGGATGGTTTGCTAAGTTAACGTTAGCTAACGGCTAATGTTAACGTTAGCTAACGGCTAATGTTAACGTTAGCTAATGGATAACGTTAGCTAACTGCTATTGTTAACGTTAGCTAATGGATAACGTTAGCTAACGGCTAAAGTTAACGTTAGCTAACTTGTGTTAGCTAAATGTTTTAAATACATTTAAATTTGACTTTGTTGACTGGATTTGCCCTCCTATTTTTGCTGTACACTAGCTATTTATCTCTGACATTTCAGATCTGCAAGTTCATAAATATTGTGTCACGAGTCCGTATGTTGTGAGCAGATTTTCTGCAAAAGCTCACCCAAGAATAGGGATGCTATCATGGTTCATGATCTTTACATTTTTTTAATCTTGGTGGTTTTATAGGTTTTAAAACAATCAATTAGGAAAATGATTTGATTTGATTTTTGCTCATTTTAATACCATTATTGTCTCAAAGATATGAAGTGAATTTAGGTTAAAATAGTGTCTATTGATGTTATACTTAGCGTTAATGATCTAAAATGTATTTTTTTCATTAACCGGATGGAGAAAAACAAAGTGCTGGCAAAAAAGAGGCTACGGGTTCCCACTCAGAAAATTGAAGGACCTGAGCTCCCCTCCCCCAAATGAGCAATCTGGTAAGTATTAACGTAATAATTTGTTATATACGGGGGTAATAATCATAACATTAATAATGTCTAAAAATACCAGTCTAAATTGTTGTGGCCAAATAGAAATTCATTTCCATCGATGAATCCATCACCTGACGGGGGACATGCAACAGGCCGCAACACAGCTGGACCACCACCCTATGGGTAGGTTTGTCATAATTATTACATAATCGCCTGGGCCCATGAGTTCAACACTTTTTATCCTTATCCGATCAGATTTGGCAAAGTTTGGCAAAAAACATCATTAGGATAACTTTGTTATCCAATCTATGATAATAGAATAGGCTCTATGCACAGCTCCACTACTTCCTGAACTTAAGGCTGGTCTTTTATTTCCTGCCTTACATTATTGGACAAACTGATTAATCCACGTGTGTCTGAGTCACAATGGTCAGACACACGTGGATTAATCAGTTGTCCAATAATGTAAGGCAGGAAACCAAGGAGCTGCCTTAAATTCAGGAAGTAGTGGAGCTGTGTGTATACCCCATTACTGTATTTGAGTAAATAGTATGTGAATGACTCTTGGCCCTGATGAAAATGATTTGCTATTATTTTTGCTTAATGATCAGAATCGTTTACGTTCATCTTTTTACGAGCTCACTTCCCTTTCAGATCCAGGCCGGGTCAGAGAGCTTCAGACTCTCTGCGACTTAATTGGAGAGAGATCTGGTGGCAGCCTAGCTTCACCATCAGGCCAGCAGGAGCTGTTTCCTGGGAGCGGCATATTCATCTCATCATTCCGCCTGGCTGCCATGAATCACGCATCAAAACCAAATTGCATGAGTCTGTTTCATGCACTTTTTGATAATTTCTTCACTGTTGAGGAGTGTCAAAATGCAGTGCCCTTTGGTCACCCTGGCAACAACCCCTCAGGAAAGGAAGGAAAGCAGGTCCTTGACTGTAAAAAAGTTGACTGAATCCTAAGTACGTTTTTTTTTAAGGATAACACTTGTTTTATTCATATTCATGATTGGCCAAAAAAATCGTACTTGCTGATTTGCAATTCTCTGAACTGAAATGGACGTCTCACGGTGTTATTTCCTTTTAACCTGAAGTGCAGTTGTATATGGTCTATGTGGAATTTTTTTTGTCAAATTACTCATGACTGATTTTAATGCTCTTGTCTTACAGATGTGCAACTCTACCGGACTGGGAACCAATTGAGGAGGCCAAGCTATGTGGACCGCGATCTCTCTCTCTCTTTTGTGTGTGTGTGTGTGTGTGTGTGTTACACAAATGCAGTTTTCAATATTGAGTATTGTTTTTAGTTGTTTCTAATTAATAAAGATAATTAATATTTAAATTGCATTCTCAATCTCTTCTTGTATTTCTCAAATATACCTCAGATATCATTCTCATATATAGCTTCAGTAAGACATTAAGGAGAAATAATCAAGAGATGGAAGAGACGTTGGACACACAATAATAAGATCTCTTTTAAGGCTCATAATTCTCAGATTTGTCTCATGTTATTCTCCTTCAAATGGCCGAGACACAATTGAGATCAGGGGTATACAATTATGAGATCTCTACTGTCTATCCCACTTCTCAAGTATTGCTCAAATGGTATTCTCAATTTAACCTCCTTTGTCTTACTCATGTCTTGTCTCTTTTTAGCTTATGTCTTGCTCCTAAGGGACCCTTAGGAGAAGTAACTCAGAAACAAATGATCACAGAATGATATGAACATGAGATGCTCAAATTGAGCTCGCGAGATGAGATTGAACAACAGATGAGCAACACATTTTTCCTATGGGTAAGGTCATGTGACCGTGGAATTCCTTTATAGCCAAACGTGAAGTTACGTGAATCGAAGCTGCGTAGTAATGGACGGAGACGCTCGTCGGTGACGTCAGATGCTTCATGTGTTGTTAGTGTGAGTCGTAAAGGAAAACTTTATTAAACGAGCGATGCTAACGGTTAGTCACATGATCACCTGCGCGAAAGAGGGCAGGAAACTGAATTTCACCCTCCTGCTCTCTGCACCTCGGCCGACACACACGACCCGCCCCCCATGTCAGTCACATGCATGCCACGTTCACTGGACAAGCACACAGTAGGAAACCAGAACATCATAACATGTCCCACACAGCAGCTGACAGTGGGGTTACAGTATAAAACTTGCGGGCCGCACTAACATTACACTTTCATATTAAGGATGGGGGCACAAAATATCGTCCCGAGGGCCGCAATTGGCCCGCGGGCCGCGAGTTTGAGACCCCTGCTTTACGGCATCTCACATTTCCGGTTTCATAGCACAATACCGCCATTATTAAAACATTAACAATTATTATTATATTATTAAAAGTTTTTTTGCCAGAGAATGGATCTGTTGTTTAATTAAAACTCCTTCAAATACTTTTTTATTTTTTTTATTTTACGCAACCATCTTTCGGTTCAATAGACACACGTGTGTAGGTTTTTATATATTATACTATACCCCTTAACTCCAGTACATTAAAACAACTAAAATAACTGAAATAATTGAAGTATCCAATGGGATATGAAGAGCCTGCTATGTTTTACTCCCTTGACAACAAGTAAAATGCAGGTGACAGAACAACGAGGGGAGGGAGGTGAGCCAAGAAGACGGGGAGGTGTTTGGTTGAGGTGTGTGATGACAGTGGAGTGAAGGTTTTACTCACGGTTGATGGATGAGACTGAACTTGCTCATGTCACCGTCAGACAGGCTCTGGGGGAAGTAACAGAGAAATCCATTTTCAATTGTGACAAGTTGGGTGAAAATTGCAGAGTTCTCAAGTGACTGTGATGTCTCAGGTGAGGCGATACTACAAGGGGGTCACATTGTCACCAAACACGTGCATTGGAGCAGTGGTTCTCAAACTGAGGGACGTGTACCCCTGGAGGTACGTGAAGGCACTCCAGGGGATACCTGAGATTGTTTAATGATTTTAAAATAAAATAAAATAATAAAATAAAATAAGCATGCTACACACACACACACACACACAAACGTCCATTACTTTCAAGGCTCCCCCTTTTCAATCGGCCTCTCTCCAAACGCCGTCTTACCGTGTGTTCGTGTTCATCTGCGTCGACAGATAATAAAGAGCCCACTATAGCGAGAAAAGCCGCAGCTGCTACCTTCCACCTGGAAGACCCCATTCTTTTTCGGAGTAGGAATACAGCGAGATTGGGGATGTTAGCTTTGTAGGGCTATCCCACCTTCTTCCTGGTTGTATGACAGAGGCAATTTTAGGGATGCTCTCGTACGCATTTGGCGTAAGCGCTTCACCACCGCACATCGCAGGCAAATTTGATGGGCTGACTTGAGTCACATGACCCGCATCCTCCAGTCACGGGGGAAAGCGATGGATCAAACGGTGGATAAAAAAACGCATTCACGTCACCAGACGCATTCACATCTGTTTGGATTGCTTTCCCATGCGCCCCTGAGGATAATGTAGATATCTTTATACACAGGTGTCAAACTCAAGGCCCGCGGGCCGGATCCGGTGTTCTGTCGATTTTTTGCTGCTTTGTCGAAAATTGCTACCGCCGCATAAATCGATGGCTCTGTCTATCAAGTCATGCTACCCTATCAAAAAATGCTACTTTATGGTTTTCTACCTCTCAATCATCAAATCAAATCATATCAAATAAAGGCATAAAGTAAGTGTTTTTTCGCTCATGTGTCTAATTATAAAAAAATGTAATAAAATGTATTTATATCAGGGGTAGCATATTTTGATACGATAACACCCTATCAAATATTGCTCCGGCTGCTCCAAGCAGTCATGCAAGACTGCTAATCATCTCACCTCCACTGTAGGATGAATGCCAGCATATTAATCACATTTTATTCATCAATATTTGAGGAGTAGCAGATTTACTGGGCACATTTTTTAGGTTTTCATGCCTTTAATGAAGGAGAGACAGGACATGGGGGACAGAGAGAGGGGGGTGACACGCAGTGAGGGACCGTCGATGCAGGATTTGATCCGCCTGCTCAGACAACTGTGCTACCGAGAGCCCCGCAAACACATTTTGGGCATTTGTACGGTGTGCCACTGTTTTTGACGTAATGGGCACATTCAAAATGTGCCCACCGACCGCAGGAATCGCACTGCACCTACAAAAAAGGAAATGATATATGGAAATGGAAATAACTAATACAAAGCACTAGGGCTGGGCAATTAATAGAAAAATAATCGAAATTGACATTTATAAACTACAACTGACTTAATCTTGCTCATGTCAATTAATTGTGGCTTTAACTTGCCATGACAGTAAAGGTTGCATATCTTTGAGGAAATTGAAAACTCCAGTTTATAATTTTAACCCAACCTGTGATCTTTCATAGCCATAATCAAGTGGGTTTTGTGCCCTACAAAGCACAAATATGATACTTTACCATTTCGAACATGCTGGTATCCCCATCGGTTTCCAGATAGGAGCACACCACGCAGTAATCATCTGCATTCCCCGTAAACCATGGATTTTAGATTTACAACTAAATGTACAAAGCACAATTTGTACATACATAGTAAATAAAGTATAGTCAACTTAAATCAGTGTTCGATACCACTGACCTTTTGACCGAAGCAGTGCACAAGCTTGTGCAACAGCTTGTGGCAATGTTTTTGTCATGGCAAAATTACCATGTGTCATATTCTGCAAACTGCAAAATGACATTCAAAAAGGTTGTGTCAGTTTGACTTAACCATAATCGGTTCCTTTACACCTTGGATGTTAAGTACTTCAAATCAAAAACAAAGCAAAAGACTGACAGATTATAGTTGATCTGCTTCAATAAATCACGGTTTGGAAGTTTGGACAAGCTAGATCTAACCATCAACACCAAAATGCCACAGCTCCAGGCGTCCTGCTGTTGGTTGTGGGGTATTTTCTGGACTGTCCATTTTTCTACGTGTTGTTGGCAGTTTGCCTTCTGCAAGTAGTTTCTAATTGTCAAAACAGTAAAAAAGCAAAAGACACACACAATGATTGTGTATCATGAAAACATTTCATCAATTTAAATTGATTAAATTTGTATTGGCATACAAAGATCATCAATGTGTTTCTCAACCCTAAACAACATTACCTCCAGTTTCGCAGTACTTTCCTCTCACATGAACCCTCATTTCCCACTGGATCGATGAGCAAAAGGATTTTCTCCGACATTTTTACAATCTAAAAATGTTTAGTCCATTAAAGTAATTTTCTTATCACATTGCAACATTCAGCAAATCATTTTATATGAACTGAGCCTTAATATTCCACCCAAGGTCAATTGGATTATCAGCACACATGAACCGTGAAATATTCCACAGCATACAGCAACAAGCAAAGATGTTTAAACACACCACCAAAATCCAGTGAGCCCCAACATTCACAGGACACATCCAGATGTCCTCCACTGGAATCTTCATCTGGGGAATCGATGTGACATAAATTTAACGTTACCTTTTCTTAACATACATTACGTCAATATAATTAACTGGCATAACTACCTTCTTGAGGTGCTGGAATCGTCCCGAAAACAATGAGGTGGACACAGTGGAACTGAGAAGGTGAATAAGTTTCTGTCAAACGCAAAAAGTTTATAGCTGTTTAGTTAGATTCAATCTGAAATGAATATCTTGGTCCTTTCAGCCAGAATGCAAACACAGTGGAATAATTAAAAATGAAACTCAAAGTTACTTGTTTGATCAAACTATTGCTCTTTGTTATACTCTATTTGCTTGTTATTAAATTCATTTACATAAAAATCATATGCATTCCAGTTTTAGAGAGAAAAAATTCAACCTTGCCTTCTTTTTTACAATGACACTGAAGTATGCTTCAATAACCTGCAATGCAAACTAGACACTTTTTTTTATACCATTGTATCTCTTTCAGGGCTTTTATCAACATGGTTTGCTTTCTTACATCATCAGCCAGCCATGCAGTCCCATGCAGTGTGCGAAATGATGTGTCGACTCGTACAGCTTGAATGGGCCAACAACCGCTTCCACCTGGCCCTGATCATTAGCTGCCCACAACTTTTCAACTGAAAGAATAAATGGTAAACCAAAGACAGACTCGTATCATTGTATTGCTAACCTAACACACACAGGATATATCTATTAGGGCTGGGTATTGATTCAGATTTTCCAAATAAATTGTAATAACAAGGTCCCAATTACATCTAGTGACATCTTGTGATGTGAAAAGGAAATGCTGATCGCAGGAAACAGTTAAAGGACTGATTCAAATTGATCAAATTAATTCTGTTCACCCAGCCGAAATACCTACAATGTTTAAGCTATAATATATTATTAAAATGTTTTTTTGAAAAGA